CCAATGTAATACAATTATTACTTGAGATAAATGTACAATATACAGTATATCAGGCGCCACTAAGAGAGCTCAGGCTCTCAATTGGCTCAGCCATGTCAATGTCATTATTATCCATTCTGTATCTATATTTTTCTGGCTAAATAAACTGCTTCAATATTAATACCAATAGATTATCGTACTCACTAATAAATTCTCGTACTCACTCGGCGACGAACTGGCTGTGTCGGGCTGCAAGATTTATGTGAGATAGATAACATAACCCACACGTTTAGGAACCCCAGGAAATAAACTGTACGCTGATGATGTTATGATAATGCGACTGTAAATTATATGATACTGAGATATTCCAAGTGAAAGTAAATTACTGTAAATTACTGTGACTCCCTAAGGTTCTGTTTGTTGATTTTGTCTCCTAACTGGTGTTAAATGAACGCATCAAATGAACGCATCAAATGAACGTATCAAGTTAAAGTAGACTGTCAGTGTACTTTTGATATACTGTACCGTATTTAGAACGATATTTTTATTTATTATTTTTTTTTTAGCTGAAGTCAACCAATCAAATGTGTTCTTATATCTCCAGTTACGAGGAAAATTTAACCTTTGGGTAATGATAATACAGTGCAACCTTTCTGAAACATCCAGTTGACGAATAACGTACAAAAGTTAGTTAGTTGTAATGGATATAAACTTAAAGTGGCTTCGTTTGGTTAGCTGCTGCAAGACTGTTTACTTTTGATTATATACCTGCACTGTCTATGTACGGTCGCCTACACTTATACCTGGTACAATGTCTGGTGGGGTTTGTGATGATTGAGATAATTTGCACCTCCTCCCTTACCTTACCTCCCCCTTACTTCACCTCCTCCCTTACCTTACCTCCCCCTTACTTCACCTCGCCCCTTACTTTACCCCCTCCCATACCTTACCTCCCCCTTACGTTTACCCTCGCCTACACCCTTACCTCTGCCCTTACCTAACCTCCACCCTTACCTCACAACCCAGAGCACTGAGGTATAAATAAGCAATACAGAATTGAGCTCTTAAATTCTTAGAAGGTCCAGCTGTTGCACCTATAACGAGGAGGGAGGTAGGGAGGGGGGAGAGGATAGGAGATAGGAAGGAAAGAAGGAAGAGTGAGGAGAGGATAGGAGGGAGGTGGTTGGTAGGTAGGATGGAGGAAGAGGATAGGATAAAGGGGGTAGGGTGGATAGAGGGGGTAGGATAGAGGGAGGAGCTAGGAGGTTGGGAGGAGGGGTGCAAAGACTCCCAAAAAGACACACCCGACCTCATCTTTTTCGAACCGTAATTTCCAGCACAGTCGCCGCCTGATAAACACATTCCTTTAGTGCAACAATGGACTATAATTACTGCTTGTTAACTGGACTTTTTTATTTACAGGATTGTTCTGCTGCTGAGCTTTGGCGGCGGTGGGTCTTGGTAATCCTTAATACCTTGAAAAAAGAAGAAGTCCAGAGTCTTTCCTATGAAATTCTTTTTGAAGCACAGGTTGAAAAGTGTAGTTGTACGTAAAAGAGTTTGAGAGCTTTTGTGTAGTTTAGTCTCTGGCTGAAGACAATCTGGTTTTACGTTGTAGATTTCTTTGTAAATTATATTCGGATGATTTAGTTAGGTGTACTAGATGAAAATTTCACTTAACCTAACCTAACCAAACTCTAACCTTACCATTACTAACGCTAATCTAACCTAACCTAACCTAACAACCCTTCTACCCAGTGTTTTATTGGCGTCCTGGTGCAGCCTGACACTCTCTATGGTCTAAGTCACCAAGAACACAATATCACCATTATCTACCTTACTAAGGCTCCGGTGTACAAGTCAAGAATGGCTCCAATATATGCCAATATATTAAGTACACTCTGTACAGTATTTTACGTGTTTGGGTTTTTAAAGAAATATTCACTACACTAATAATATTTTGTCTTCAAAACTTTAAGCAATTCTCATTAGGCTAATAAACTTTTTTCACAACTTTTAACAATATTCACTAGGCTAGTTATCGTTGTCACCAAATAAGTCTTTGGAGCATTAATTACGTCAGAGCGCACTTGATTTAGTCTCAAGAAAGATTAAAACAAAATTAGGACGACAGGAAGCTTCGCCATTGGCATACCAGTTTGTTGTTGTTTAGGTGCTTCAACTTCCGCCATCATGAAGTATCAGTGTCAATTTTTAGCTTATAGTTCAGATAAATAACCAAATAAAAAAAACAGCGAGGGAGAAGCACTTGGTGTGTCTGTCAGTAAAATCAGGGAGTCATCACGATATAAACAGGACGGGAAGACATACAGTAATTGCTGGTCTTACCGTGCGCCTGTTCAGTACATATTCTCCTAAGTCAAGTAGCCAGCTCACAGCCCCTCACCATAACTTTCCTTTGATAACTTCGATTATTCATTTATCATTATACAGAGACACTTTTATATAATATTGAACACAAGAACAGCATTTGGTTTCGACATACTGTACTGTGCTATAATCACGAACCGCTACTGGCACTTTCCCGAAATATTTGGCGGAGCTTTCATAACTTCAACAAGTTATGTAACTTTTTAATACGGTGTTGGCATACAAGTCGTTTACCTTACCAGCTTATTCTGACATAATATTGGGCTGAAATGCGTCTCCTTTCAGAGTCTGAGTGAGTGTTGCTGTCAGGAGCGTCACACAAGGAATAAAAAAGTCGCACAAAAAAAGTTACAATTTTCGGTAGGGAAAAATGTCACTGGATATAGACACTTTCATTAAATAACCCAAATAAAGTTAGGTTAGGTCGGTTTAGGTTAGGTTAGGTTAGTTTAGGTTAAGTTAGGTTAGTTTTGAAACTCTTTCCGGTTACTATTTCCAATACTCGTCGGGTATCAAACACGGTAGTCTTGTTACGAGGCTTCCAACACGACCCCATCCTCGCTATCACAACAGAGAATATTTTTTTACTCTCATGTCTTTTTCCTCTATTTTTCTCATCTTTGTCTTTTTTACTTCTCCTCCACAGTTGTCAATCTTGCGGTTATTTTTGTTTTATTATTTACTTTCTCGTATCTTTTTCATCCACATCAGTCATTCTGCCTTCCTTCTACTGGTATTCCCAAAGTTCTCTCTCCACTCCTCTTCACCTGCCATCATCACAATCTTAACCCTCTCCACTTTTATCATCATATCTCTCACTCATTAACTGTTTTGTTTGTTGACCCAAAATCTGCTGCCAATTTGTTAAAAAATTCTTCCTGAATTTTGAGTTAATTTATGATTTACGCCACAAAAATATCAAATCAAGGTCCATTAGATGCTGCAAAAGTATACATTAATATTAAAGCGAATTTATGTAAACCACTGATGCATATTCATAGTTATGTAAATTATTTTTCAAATATAAGAATATTTTGCAAATTTCTTTATTTTCGCCTCTGACGGAGTAACGTTTTGGACTTGGTGTTATAATCTTATATATAATCTAGTTGAGTTACTTGATTACCAAATTTAAAATCTAACTTTAAATGTGGAAATACGTAGGGAACACACACACACACACACACACACACACACAGAATGTATTACATATATAGATTACAAGAATGTATTTAATTTAACATATCTAAAAATACCAAGTATATAAATTTCTCTATGTATGAAGTTTATGTGCGTAGGGGCTATGACTCAGTGTGTATATGGCTACTTGTACCCGATGTCTTAGCACTGTCTTGTCACCTTTTACACTTCACTTCTTCATTTCTCTTTCATTGCCTCCTTTATTTGTCATTTCTATACCCTACGTAGAAGAGGAATAACAAAAGAAAGATAGAAAGTAAGACAAAGGTACATAAGAAAGAATAAAGAATAAATGCAGTAGGAAGGAAGATACTTGGTAGGGGGAAGGAGAGGGGGAGAACAGGTAGTGGGAAGAAAAGGGTGATAACAGGTAATGGGAAGAAAAGGGTGAGAGAACAGGTAATGGGAAGGTGAAAACAGGTAGTGGAAAGAAAAGAATGAAAACAGGTTGTGGGAAGGACAGGATGAAAAAAGGTTGTGGGAAAAGGGTGAGGGAACAGGTAATGGGAAGAAAAGGGTGAGAGAACAGGTAGTGGGAAGGAGAGAGTGAGCAGTAGTAGTAAAGTGATGGACGAGGATAGACTAAGTTCTCAAAGTTTCCCACCAGCCAAATGAGACACAGGCAAGCAGGAGATGGGAGAAGGAATATTTCTCACGAGTTACTGATTGTTGAAGATGGAGGCGTAGTCAAAATATTTACTGTGTGTTAGAGGAGACGAAAGAACTGAACAATTGGAATAGATAGATAGATAGAAATTAATATATCCTAATATAACTTAACCTAACATAACCTAACCCTAACGTTAACCTAACACTAACTTAACCTAATCTAACCTACTCCAACCTGACCTAACCAAACCTCACCAGGTAGTATTAAGAAGGGTGACTAATTTTCAGAGGAACCACAAATATTTATAGTAAAAACAAGACCAATGTGTTTTATAGCCAAGTTGTATAACACATGAAGCCATTTGATAGTTAGCATACGTTAGGTTAGGTTAGGTCAAGTTAGGTTAGGTTAGGTCAGGTCAGGTTTTCAGTGAGGAAAAAAGCGTGACTTAAGATAGTGAAAAAAGTTCTGAAAGGCGAAATAATATGTTGCTTTCTATTTTGGGGCGGCTGGTTTGGGGCGGCTGGTGAGGGTGGTGGGGGTGGGGGGGGGGGGGTTACTGGAGCATAACTTACCCACAGACGAGAAGTAACGTACTATATTTAACCCCACATAGATAAGGAGCATATTTTAACAACACAAAAGAGCATAAATTACACACACTGAGGAGGAGCATATTTGACCCCAATAGAACACGAGCATATTTTACCCACACAAAAGAGGAGCATATTTTACCCACACAGAAGAGGAGCATATTTTACGCACACAGAAGAGGAGCATATTTTACGCACAAAGAAGAAGGTAAGGGAGCATAACTTACCAACAGAGGAGAGGTAGAGGAGCATGAGGGGGATGCCCAGGAGAGCATACACTATGGTGACGATACGACCCATCACCGTCTGTGGCGCCACTGAGCCATAACCTGTGAGGGGGATAATATACAGTGTTACCACCTGAGGAGACATTATACAGTGTTACCAGCTGAGGAGACATTATACAGTGTTACTAGCTGAGGAGACATTATAGTGTTATCAGCTGAGGAGACATTATAGTGTTACCAGCTGAGGAGACATTATACAGTGTTACTAGCTGAGGAGACATTATAGTGTTATCAGCTGAGGAGACATTATAGTGTTACCAGCTGAGGAGACATTATACAGTGTTACTAGCTGAGGAGACATTATAGTGTTATCAGCTGAGGAGACATTATACAGTGTTACCACCTGAGGAGACATTATAGTGTTATCAGCTGAGGAGACATTATACAGTGTTACCAGCTGATGAGACATTATAAAGTATTACCAGCTGAGGAGACATTATAAAGTGTTACCACCTGAGGAGACATTATACAATGTTACTAGCTGAGGAGACATTGTAAAGTGTTACCAGCTGAGGAGACGTTGTAAAGTGTTACCAGCTGGGGAGACATTATAAAGTGTTACCAGCTGAGGAGACATTGTAAAGTGTTACCAGCTGAGACTGAGGAGACATTATACAGTGTTACTAGCTGAGGAGACATTATACAGTGTTATCAGCTGAGGAGACATTATACAGTGTTACCAGCTGAGGAGACAATATACAGTGTTACCACCTGAGGAGACATTATACAGTGTTACCAGCTGAGGAGACATTATACAGTGTTATCAGCTGAGGAGACATTATAAAGTGCTGAGGAGACAGTATTAGCTACAGTGTTACCAGCTGAGGAGACATTATACAGTGTTATCAGCTGAGGAGACAATATACAGTGTTATCAGCTGAGGAGACATTATACAGTGTTACCAGCTGAGGAGACATTATACAGTGTTACAGCTGAGGAGACATTAAACAGTGTTACCAGCTGAGGAGACATTATACAGTGTTATCAGCTGAGAGACTGTTACCAGCTGAGGAGACATTATACAGTGTTATCAGCTGAGGAGACATTATACCAGCTGAGGAGACATTATACAGTGTTACCAGCTGAGGAGACATTATACAGTGTTATCAGCTGAGGAGACATTGTAAAGTGTTACCAGCTGAGGAGACATTATACAGTGTTATCAGCTGAGGAGACATTGTAAAGTGTTACTAGCTGAGGAGACATTATACAGTGTTATCAGCTGAGGAGACATTATAAAGTGTAACCACCTGAGGAGACAATATACAGTATTACCAGCTGAGGAGACATTATACACTGTTACCAGCTGAGGAGACAATATACAGTGTTACCAGCTGAGGAGACATTATACAGTGTTACCAGCTGAGGAGACATTATACAGTATTACCAGCTGAGGAGACATTACACAGTGTTACCAGCTGAGGAGACAGCTGAGGAGACAATATACAGTGTTACCAGCTGAGGAGACATTATACAGTGTTACCAGCTGAGAGAGACAATATAGCAGACAATACAGGTATACATCTCAGCAGTACTATATGGACATGTATGTATCTCGGGAACACAGGTGTACATAGGCTAAAGGTACACAAACAAGTGAAGGCAGCTACAGGTAAGGCGGGTGACGTCTCTAGCACCTATAATAAACCTTAACTTAGAGCAGAAATGTTTAGAAGGTGTGACAAGTGTTGTTATTGTTGTTGAGAAGATTCAGGTATTTATATATTTTCAGTGTTGTTTTTATAGCGGGTTGTTGTTGTGACGCCTACTGTATAATAGGGTAGATTATGTGGTTGTAAAGCTTCAAATAATTGTTTCCGAAGCTGGAACTGTTAGTGTGTGTGTGTGTGTGTGTGTGTGTGTGTGTGATTGAATAAACCTCCTTCCAACACGGTGTGAGGCAAAGACTATAACACACAACAAACAACTCACTGGTAATAAACTTGTATTATTCTTTACTCTGTCTAGCTTTCTCTTTCTTCCTCCCCTGCCTTCTATCTCTCTCTCTCTCCCTCTCTCTGGCCTTGTCTCCCCCTGGCCGTCTCTCCCTCCCCTGCCCCCTGCACTCCACCTTGGTCTATTGCATTACAGTGATGGTGAGATGGAGTGGCTGGTGGTCAGTGGTGAGGGAAAACAGTAAATTATTGTGGCGCTGTCCAGGCAAAACAACCCCGTGTTGTGTGCGCATGTGTACCTCTAACACACACACACACCCACCCCTTAATAATAATAATGGTTGCCCCTCGTGTAATGAGAGTGGCTGGCTCAAGGGCCACCTAGGCGTGAATTTGTTTAAGGTGTAGAAGCTGTCAACACAACAACCACACCCTGAGTTAACGAGCTGCATGACCCAGTGTCCAAGGAATAGTCCGAGAAGACCGGACAACTCGCTAACTGCACTGGCTAACCATTACCCCGGAATATGATTCGCAAATCGATTAACACCCAAGTCCCCAATTACTGTGGGTAAACAGAGGCAAATGACGTAAAGAAACTTGAAGACACACACATCCTTCATACACACATCAATATAGTTTTTTATTCATTTAACTTACAATAATTATTTCAGCAAAATATTTAATGACAATAAAACCAATAAACATAATTTACTTGCTTCGTTAATTAGGCACTTATTAAATTTATGACTTTTTGATGAATTAAAACGTTTCTCTTCCCTCGCGAGACTGTTTTTCATTTTATGTCTGGTTCACTTTTCTGTTACGCATTATTTATCTCCAATGGATTTTATATTTTTTTCACACATAGCCGAGGGGTTAGAGGGTGTAGGTCTAGTTTATTGTGCACCTCTTGGACTGTCTCAAGGAGGAAGGACATGACGGTGACTGCTGGGGGCTGATACAGGAGGGGTGTCGGGATATGTATGTATGTATGTATGCATGTATGTAGCACACTTCTCCAAAGGAATGAGTTATAATCTGTAAACTTGGTTAATATACAATAATAATAATAATAATAATAATAATAATAATAATAATAATAATAATAATAATAATAAACGGTTTATTAATAGAGTTGCAGCCGGTGGCTGAAAATATACAGACTTACATTTGATTTAGACATAATGATATAATATGCAGTGAATACATTGACAGGGCTGTACAGTACATAAATCAGGAGTTGTTTATTATTTTAACAATAGATGGGATGGTGCTGTTCTTATATCTATGGGTGCGGGCTCTTATGGGCTGAATTTTGTTGTAGTGGCGGACTGTGCGAGGTGGGTGGGGGGCTGCAGTTGGCAGGAGGTGGCGATGACGAGGGTGGTGCAGTAGTCCACTGCCAAACCTTTCCAGTGCTTGGTGGTGGAGGTCACTGAGGGATGGCATTTCCAGGGTGTGAGTGTGTGTGTGTGTGTGTGTGTGTGGTGTGTGTGTGTGTGTGTGCACTGATAGCGACGTTATCCCTACACTAGATCAACACTGTATGGCTGAGTTGCAAAATAGTGATCATTACACAGGCTTTGCCGGGTCTTGAATCAAAGCTATTTAGTTAAGCTTGTAATTGTTGGTGGTGGTCGTGGTGGAGGCGTGAAGATAGTGGTATTGGTGGTGGTGGTAGGTGTGATGAATAGTGGTAATGGTGGTGGTGGTGGGTGTGATGATAGTGGTAATGGTGGTGGTGGTGGAGTGCGATGTTGATGGTAATAATTGGTGGTGGTGAGTCTTGATGATGAGTGAGTAGTGATGGTGGTGGTGGGTGTGATGATGTGATGTGTGTAACAGGTGGGTGGTGGGTGATGATGATGGTGTGTAGTGATGGTGGTGGTGGGTGTGATGATAGTGGTGGTGGTGGTGGTGGTGTGTGATGATGGTGGTGAGTGATGGTGGTGGTGGATGTGATAGTGGTAATGGTGGTGAGGTGGTGAGTGTGGATGCTGTGGTGGATGGTGTGGTGGTGGGTGTGATGAAGTGGTGTGGTGGTGGTGGTGGTGTGTGATGATGGTGGTAGTGATGGTGGTGGTGGGTGTGATGGTGGTGGGGTGGTGGTGGTGGTGTGATGATAGAGTGGTGGTGGAGTGTGATGATGGTAATGGTGGTGGTGGATGATAGTGGTATGAGTGATGGTGGTGGTGAGTGGTAGTGATGATAGTGGTAATGGTGGTGGTGGTGGGTGTGATGATAGTGGTAATGGTGGTGGGTGTGATGATAGTAAAGTAGTGATGGTGGTGGTGGGTGTGGGATGATGAGTGGTAATGGTGGTGGTGGTGTGTGTGATGATGATAGTGGTGGTGGTGTGGTGGGTGTGATGATAGTGGTAGTGATGGTGGTGGTGGTGGTGTGCATGATAGTGGTAGTGGTGGATGGTGGTGGTGATGTGTGATGATAGTGGTAATGGTGGTGGTGGGGTGTGTGATGATAGTGGTAGTGATGGTGGTGGTGGGTGTGATGATGGTGGTGGTGGTAATGGTGGTGGATGATATGGTAGTGATGGTGGTGGGTGTGGGATGTGTAATGATATAGTGGTAGTGATGGTGGTGGTGGGTGATGATAGTGAGGTAATGGTGGTGGTGGGTGTGATGATAGTGGGGAGTGATGGTGGTGGTGGATGATAGGTAATGGTGGTGGGGTGTGATGATAGTGGTAATGGTGGTGGGTGTGATGATAGTGGTAATGGTGGTGGTGGTGGGTGATGATAGTGGGTGGTGGTGGCAATGGTAGGGTGATGATAGTGGTAGTGATGGTGGTGGGGTGTGATGATAGTGGTAATAAGGTGGTGGTGGTGGGGTGTGATGAGTGGTAATGGTGGTGGGTGTGATGATGGTGTGGTAGTGATGGTAGCAGGATGGTGGTGGTGGGGTGATGGATAGTGGTAATGGTGGTGTGTGGGTAGAATGGTGGTGGGGTGTGATGATAGTGGTAGTGATGGTGGGGGGTGTGATGATAGTGGTAATGGTGGTGGTGGGTGATGATGTGGTAGTGATGGTGGTGGTGGGTGTGATGATAGTGGGTAATGGTGGTGGTGGGTGTGATGATAGTGGTAGTGATGGTGGTGGTGGGTGTGATGATAGTGTTAATGGTGTG